CTACTGATACCTGTAGGCGACGTGATCACTACAATGTTACCATTTGAAAATAAAAAGTTGTTAGTGATTTCACCAATAAATATAGGGGTGAACAAAATTAAAATATCATACGGTTTTAGAAAAACAATATAAGCCTAGAAGTTTAAAAAAAAAAATTAAAAAAGAGTTAATACTTTTCGAGATAATTAGTGTACCTACTTAAAAGAATCACCCTGTATAATATGATATGATGATATGAAAAGAGACAAAATATAACAATGAATTTAAATCACATAGAAAAACCTATGATATATTAAAATTTAAAAAAAATGACACGCATATGTTATAACAATATATTTAATATTTATACAAAAGTACAAAATAATTATATGAGTTTCTTTCGTGCTACCTATTATTTAATAAAATGTCTGTCGGATCAGCTACCTAGTTAAAAATGTTAATATATTTAAATATTTACAAATAGCCAAAATAGGTAATATAAAACTATTGAAAATTTTTAAGTTAAATTAATTTTGATACTTTCATTGAGAGAGAAGATTTATTGTTTAGTACTTTTCTCAAATTATATTCCTTTAAGTATTATAGCACCCACAGGCAAATGTGTTTCAAGAAACAAAAAATTGATGTTTTTAAATTCTGCATTAGATGTAGGTACACAGTGTAGATTGCTGTACGCCAGTATGAAATTTTAAGATAATTATGTGTATATAAATATAAAGAATTATAAAATCATGATAGAAAGATTACATAAAAGGCACGCTATTATAAAAGGTTAAAAATAAACTATAGTTTAATTATGAAAAAAAAAAAAAAATGAGAAATGAGGGTATTGGTGCCAGCAGTCAAAAGTATTTCAAGAAGTAAAAAAAAATTTTGAAAATATTATAAAAGATTAAGGAATACACAATGAAGAGTGCAGTATATAAGTTTAATAACCATGTGCCCTACTGCCCTCTAAATAATCATTCTATCATTATTTTATTATTCTTAATATTTTATATCATTAAATTATCTTGAGGTTACATACAGCAGTCTTCAGTGTGTWTTCTTATTACTTTATAATTTTTTATGATTTATTTTTTTTGCATTTTGAAATTTATTTGGTATGCATATTAACTAGTTTCAAGTTATTACTTTCAAAGTGAAAATATTCTAGTTTAAATGTTTTATACCTGTCACCGCTATCAATGAAATATCTTCTTTAACTTTCTTATCATTAATTAATATAGTTCTAAGAAAACTTAATCTATACCTAACGCTGGTATTATTACGTTGAAAATTGTGCAGCAGCGAAGTAAATAAGAAAATTTGTTGTGTATAATCTACAGACAATTTATTTTTTACAGAATGATTGATCAGATTGCACTCAGCGAGTAGGTAAGATAAAATTTAAAAATGAAAAAGAATTAACAAGAGTCAGGACTATGAAAAAAATAAACTTAAGTCAAATTTATGAAAGTAAAAATGGGAAAGAGATCACGGGCGCTCGCAGGCAAACATAATTTAAGAAGTAAGAAAACACAACATTTTAAACAAATATTTCAACTACATGATGTACTATTATAGTAATTGCAGTGGTCTCAAAAAATGATTTATCTCATGATAATTGATAACCTACAGTTATAAATATAAAGAGCTAGTTTAAATTTAAAAAATATGTGACTGAAAAAACGGGATGAGTATAAAAATATTGAAACAATAGAACTATACTCTATAAGGTAATTTACTAATATATTATTTAAGGTAGTAGTAGGTTGTGCGTACTTAAAATTGAAATAGACAATAGAATTCATACATATAAACATAGATAAATATCCAATATCCATAATAATTAAAAGACTAGGCACTAGGCAGGGTGGTATTTATCTAAACTGAGCTAATTCTAATAAGTAGAATTAACATAATAAATTATATAACATTAAAATGGACAGTAAATATTTATCTCGTTGCTTCTAATGATTCAATTAGCTCATAATTCTGAGTGATAATTTATTTCTTCCCAGGCTTTAAAGTTCAAATTAAATTCCTCATCACATTTCATTTTGATAGTTGGAAACAAACTGAAAAAGAAAAATTTTACAATTCACTGTACACATCAGTAGACTATAAAATCATATAATATTGTAATCAYATGACGTATTTTTTTATATTTACTTGTGATTGACTGTTTTAAATATGTCTTTTTGTACATCGTCTACATTTGTAGTAGCACAAATCACATGGCCAAGACTAATGTTCTTAATCACATTCAGTTGATCTAATAAATGATTAAAAATGTCTTCATAAATTTCTATTTACTTATATCAATCATATCTATGATTTGTTTACCATCGGTGAAGCTGCCGGGTTGTCCTTTTACATCATAGAAAAAGCGATCACCAGCTTTAAATCGATAAAACCCGTCTGCAATTAAGCACTGTGCTGTTGGGCCCACAATTGCACCATCACTGTGTTTTTCCAATAAAATACCCACCATTAAATCGATGTCATTCACCGAATGATAATTTTTTTTTAATTTTATTATATCCTAAAACAAATTAAATTATTACTATTGGCTTGTTAACATAAATTTAAAACAGCTAGGTGTATTTTATAAATTTAATAATTAGGTAAGTAACAAATAACATAGTATTTGTACCCAATTAATATTAATTTTTGACGTGAATATTATTTAAATGTTAACTACTCGTTAACATAATATATTGTACCTAATAATATAATATTTTATTTTTAAATAATTGATAATTTACCATACTTTTATGTGTATAAGATCGGCTAAGTCTTCGAAATCCTTCGCCAAAGGAAACCCGCAAAAATGTCTGACTTGATTATATGGTTGTAAACCCACATCACGGCCTCTTGCAATATCGACTGCAAGTAAATCACGACCATTGTATTGAGGATTGTTCGGTAGAGTAAGCATGTAATTTGATATCTACAATGTTAGAAAAAAATATAAATTTTATAAAGGACTGACTTGTAATGACCTAACCAATGAATATATATATATAGTTATAATATTATATTGTAAATTTACATAAAAATTGTATGAAGGTTGGACCATTCGACCAGGAGTCTCTATAAATCCTTTTAACAATTTATCAAAATTATCCCCTTGAGGTATTAGGTCTGCTTTTACCATCCAATCTGTAATTTTTATTGAATTTTCTATTTTGTAATCTTTGTTCATAAAACTTAAACGTTAAAATTCTAAATTAGTTAAATCTATTACATTATATATTTAGGTACATAAAAAAATTAATTTGATTTGTTGTTATTACATACTTGAACTMAACTGGTATGATTGCGTGAAGAACTCGACTTCCAGCACTTGAGAATTCAAGGGATGTGGATGGATTTACGGTAGGATCATATATGTTTGCTTCATTTAATCCATATATTTCTTGGAAATCTTCTCCTAAATTTTTTTTTTTAATGATATATTTTAACAAATGCAAGAATTATCTGTATGTACTATTGGAGTACATCCAATCACAAAAACAATTCTAAATGATTACCAATTATAATCGGTAAGAAATCTTCATACGAGATACGTTGAATAGTTGCAATGACAATCCTTCGTGACTCTTGATAAATAATTTCATCGGACCAAAATGGATTTAAAGACGAAAGTTTAAAAGCAATATAATTATGAAACCTTAAAAATAAAGTCTGCATTGCAGTAATTCCGAAATTTTGATTTCCGTTCTCTGGATCCCCTATAACATACCATCCTCCAATAAATTAATAATGGTTAAGACTCGAATAACATAATATAATTAAAGATATCTTAGTTAAATAGTAAATATATTTTGTTAGAAATTTTTATGATTCAAAAATTGTACTCCTAAAATTGTTGAAATAGTTCACTGTTTGGCAGGGTGGTGAATATTGGATATTTTATAAATATTTTAGGTGCCGTAGATACTAAAGTGATTGAAAAAAATTTAATTTGTATTTGGAATATTATTTTTATCGTCAAAAATATATAATATGTATTGAGTTTAAATAATGAAAAACATATTTAACTAAATATAATTTTATTTATATTATGAATATCTATTTTTATTTGTAGATACCTAGGTTTATTTATTTTGTCAAAACATTTTTGAATGAAATCTGCTTATCTAATAAAAAAAAAATTAATGTATATTGATGCTTCATAATATTATCAACCTGTATCGTATTTGATATGTGTTTTTTTATTTCCAGTTGATGCTTTGTTTTCATTGGCTAGAAACGGACAGAACATTTGACCATTGTCGCCTATAGAGAATTTAAGTCGTCCGCCTTCCATAGCTCTAAGATGTAGAGCATAACTTTCGTTTGATCCGTATACTTCAGATGCGTCAATAAAATGAGAGTTGTCATTTATCTGAAATTTTAGTTCTAATTTTATTTTATGGTAAAATAGAAGAAAATCTGACATACAAATTGTGTAGGGTATAACGGACAACTATAATTTCTTGACGTTAGTGATCGAAATATGGGTGAACAAGTTTTATTGTGTACACCGTAAACAGGATCATCAGGTAAATTTTCAAGTACTATTTGGCATTGAGTATAATTCTTTATTTTATTTTCAATTAAACAACAATCTATGGCATTGCCTAAATTATACATTT